AAAGACCTCTACAATGAAAACTACAGAATGCTAAAGAAAGAAATTAAAGAAGACCTTAGAAGATGGAAAGATCTACCTTGTTCTTGGATAGGCAGAATTAAAATTACCATACTACTAAAAGCACTCTACAGATTTAATGCAATTCCAATGAAAATCCCAATGACATTCCTCATAAAAACAGAAAAAGCAACCATGAAATTCATCTGGAAAAATAAGAGACCCAGAATAGCCAAAGTAATCCTTAGCAAGAGGAGTGAAGCAGGTGATATGTATATATATATAATATACATACATATATATATACATGCGTGCGTGCACACACATACACACAATGGAATATTACTCAGCATTAAAAGAGAATAAAATCAGGGCATTAGCAGGTAAATGGATGTAGTTGGAGAATATTATGCTAAGTGAAGTGAGACAATTCCAAAAAAGCAAATGCTGAATGTTTTCTCTGATATGTGGATGCTGATCCATAATGGGGATGGGCAGCAGGGGAGTATGGGAAGAATGGAGAAACTTTAGATAGGACAAAGGGGAGGGAGGGGGAGGGAAGGGGCAGGAGGATATGAAAGATGGTAGAATGAGATGGACGTCATTACCCTAAGTACATGTCTAAAGACATGAATAGTGTGACTCTACTTTGTGTACAAGCACACATTAAAAATTGTGCTCTATAAGTGTACTACGAATTGAAATGCATTTTGCTGTCATGTGTAACAAATTAGAATAAATTAAAAAGAAAGAAAAAAGAACACAAGTGATAGCCAGGTGCAGTGGCACATGCCTGTAATCCCAGTGGCTTGGGAGGCTCAGAAAGAAGGATTCCAAATTCCAAGTCAGTCTCTCAGCAACTTAGTGAGACTCTATCTCAAAATAAAAAAAAATTAAAAAAAGAAGGGGCTGGGAATGTGGTTCAGTGGTTAAGCACCCCTGGGTTCAGTATTTATCTCAAAGAATTAAAGTCATACTATAGTGATATGTGCATACCCATGTTTATAGTAGCACAATTCACAGTAGCCAAACTATGGAACCAGCTTGGATGTCCATCAATGGATAGATAAAGAAAGAAAATGTGGTATATATACAATGGATATATATATATATACACTCAGGATAAAGATATAAGTCAAACTCAGAAGGCCAATGGTCCTATATTTTTTCT